ATACAAGACACTCATTTACTATCTCCTTTTAGTACGGGGATACGGATTACGGGATTCATTCAGCCCGGGTCCTTATAATACATGACACTCATTTACTATCCCTTATAGTACGGGGATACGGATTACAGGATTCATTCAGCCCGGGTCCTTGTAATACATGACACTCATTTATTATCCCTTATAGTACGGGGATACTACACGTATAAACTAAAAGGAATTTTATTAAAGACCATCATTATTAAAAATAAAATAACACGTGATGGAGCTACCCTCCATTTAAAATGATTAACTAAGATGCCCCCAGTCTTTATTGTGAATGACTTGATAAGGCTAATTCCAGCCGCGAGACAATTTCTAGTCGGTATACTCATCTGAGTCATTCTCATGATATGTGCTGTCACTCTGACTGAAGAACGATTTCTTATATTTGGTATTATTTTCATCCCTGGCGAGAGGGGCTGGCCTTTTCTTGTCCTCTCTTTCCTTCCGTGCACTCATGGTGTCTTCAGCGTTGATGTGTTTTTGCGCTCTGACTAGCAACTCTATCATGCTGGTGGGAGGTTCTTTTGATAAGGAGAACAAGAATCTGGAGGTTTGGAGTCCTCCTATGAAAGCGTTCAAAGCTACCTTGTCGTCCGCCTCTTCTACCTGCAACATCTCTGCGTTGAATCGGGTGATGTATTCCCGAATCGACTCTTTCTTTTGTTGCTCCACGGTAAACAGGTAGGTAGCCGGCCTCCTATGCCTCTGACTTGCAATAAAGTGGCTCACAAACTACTTACTCAATTCTTCGAAGGTGTTGATGGTTCCTGGCTTCAACTTGTTGAACCAAACTCTCACTGATCCCTTAAGTGTAGTGGGAAAAGCTCGGCACATGATTTCATCTGGCACAACGTGTAAATGCATAAGAGCTTGAAAAGTTTCTAGGTGATCGAGGGGATCTTTGGTCCCATCGAAGCTCTCGAACAAGGGCATCCTGAACTTGCTAGGTAGTGGACATTTCATAACGGCGGGGCTGAAAGGCAAGTTGGTCCTTTGTACCAGATCATCTACGGCGGCAGGACCTTTCCCTTTCATAGCCTGCATTACATCTTCCATTTTCCCCTTGAGATCCTTGATCTGCAAGTCAAGATGGGTAACTTTCTTTGTCTTTTCCTTAAGATAGAAAGCTATGCTTTCAGGAGGTCGGGAACTCCGTAGGAGAAATAGGTGAACCACCTCTCTATGTCGGGTTCCCACCTGGCTTTGTTCCACTTCAGTCTCATTTTGGGGGGAATGATTATCCCTCTCTTCAAGATTTTCATTACCTCCGTTTGGACTTGAGAGATCTTGTCCTGGAAAGTTTTGTTGAGCCGGTGGAACAAGGTGTTGCAAGAGCGTTGCATTTTGCTGGATCAACTGGTTCATACCCTGACTCAGAGTTTGAACCTGTAGTTCCAACGCTGCAAGCCGTGCCTGGTCGTTTGGGATGTCCAGGTTTTCACCCGACTCTACCCTTTGACCAGATCCCTGCGACGGTGTTTCTTCGGTAACCATACCGGACTGCAAACGTATATACCCAACGAGTAATTAATTGATTCAAGGGAATTGTGTTTCCCACAGACGGCGCCAACTGTTGAGGCTGAAATTCGCGCAGTCCGATACGATACCGTTTTCTTGCAAGGAAGAGAGGAGAAGATCGATGAACCTTGACGGCATCGATGTGGTGCCTGCCAAGAGCTCTCCGACGATCAAATTAGTCACGGAGGTCTAAAAAGAAGGCAGGGATTCATAATAGTTTTTACGTCGTACCTTCTTTAATGGCTTGATGCCCTATTTATGGCTGTCGATTGGAATCAAAATCGTTCCGCTGATATCGATGGTTGACCTTATCTTCCGCTTGTGCGAAATCATAGGAGATTTATTACCAGATTTGTCGGGATATGATTTAATCCTTTTGACCTCCTCTAGTTATAGTAGGATTATTCTTACTTATTGAACCACGTCAGATTTGATTTCATTATCCTTGATAATGAAATCTAATCAATCTTATCGAGGGTAGGGTATGTTTATATTTTTCCCTATCAACTATAGTTAGAGTCCTACGTAGAGGAGGATTGGCAATATTTATTATTTATTATTATTGGGTGAGGAATATATATATAATAAATAATTATATATATAATATAATATATGTGTATATATTTTATTTAAGATTATTATTATTTTTATTTGGATAGTCATACTAGGTATAGGATTATGGTATTAATATGTATAAATATACACATAAGGTTATATTGTTAAAAGGTTTTTCACGTTAGAAAAAAATAAGAGAAGCAAAAAGGGAAGGCTGACAAATAAAAGGCCAGATCAGAAAAAGAGGACGTCGGATTTGGAAGAGACAACCAAGGTTGAAACGTCAATTTTATTTCGAAACCTTCAGACAAGTTCTTTTCTAATTCTCCTTCTAGAACCCATAAGTTTATCACCTTGGGTATCAAAATCTATAGATTAAATTAGCATGTTAATCACCTAGACATAGGATAAATGCATGTGAAGAAATTGATTAGAAGAAAAGAAAGAATCATTCTTTAATTAAGAAACTTCTCCAATTCCTGTTTTAGTATTTTGACTGTATATCTTTCCTCGAGTATCAAAACGGCTCAACTTTCAAGTAGTTGAATGGAAATTCGATTATCTACAATTTTGTATTTCACGAAAATTTCGTGAAATGGATGTTTACCTTGTCAAAATTGGGTTGGAAGACAGTACGAATTTTGTATATATATATATATATATATATATATATTATCCCATAATAGTTTTAACCAATTTGGATAATTTGTATTAGATGGGTGTTGACCAAATAATTCTTAATATTTATATTTAACATATAACGTGTTATTTGGACATTGCTAAATTGTGTAACCTACGTGTTATATACGCCTATGTGTTATACTGCCACGCATAAATAAATAAATATAACCTAATCAACTAATAAGTTGTTCATTGATATTTATCATGTTTATATATGTGATGGTCGTGTTGATGAAATCGTAATAAGTTCTTTATTTAAATTAATTATATGCTTATAACTTGCATGGAGTCCGTATGTATGATTTATTTCATAGTTAATTGTAAAGTTTGGTACATGATTAAATTGGAGGCATGGATGAGTTGCTAAAAGTATAAATAAATTGTCTTATTAATTGTATAAATAAAATACATACATGGGAAACGTGGATGAATTACTAATAAATAGTATGGATAAAAACATACTTTTGGAGGTATGGATAAGTTGCCAAGACATAAACAAAATGCCATTTAATAGGCATGGTTGATTTGCTAAAATATAAATAAACTACTTGTAGAGGCATGGTTGAGTTGATATAGTATAAATAAATATACTTCTAGAGGCATGGTTGATTTGCCAAATCATAATCAATATTAGTGGAGGTATGGATGAGTTGCCAAAGTATAAATAAATCAATATTTGTGGAGGTATGGATGAATTGCTAAAGTATAAATAAATTACTAGATAAGTTAGATGATCAAATATACATCTATGGATATTGTGTTTATAAGTTGGAGGTGATAAATATTCTTATTATAATAAACTATTATTTAAAGGATAATATATTATTTTATAGTATTAATAAAATAATACTAGTGTAGGCATGGATGAGTTGCTAAAGTATAGATCTTTGCTGTGTAATATTTATAAATAAAATCATGCATTGGTAGAAATTGGGATTTGGGTTGAAGGAAAATATTTCTTGGATTATTATTTATTATTTAAATGGTTAAATAACTGTTTAAATATGGAATTTAGGTTTAAAGGAGTTTTCTCTTAAAAGTGGAATGTACTTGATGGTTAGTTTAAATATGGAGGTAGTCTTATCATTATTTATGGTCTTGGATTTCAAGGAATTTATTAATGAACATATTCTTTATATATTTATATATATAATATATATGTATCAACTTATATTAAATATTAAAACTTTAATTAGGATGATTTTGGTTAGAGATGTTTTATTTATTGGTTTTCAGAGGCTTGGTAGAAGAAACTTGCTCGTGGGTCTAACTCACGATTTATTTTTCAGGTTATTAGAAATTCCAGTCTCGAGGTTGAGGATCCGCAGCTAGGAGACTGTCATTCATCTACTCAGCTTGTTTACTTTTTAGTATTGTTATTTATTATTAGATGTCTGGTGAATTAAAAGTTTATAGTTTAGGGGTCCTTAACTTATAAGATTCCCGAGTTGTATTTTAGAATTTTAAATTCATGAAATTTATTTTTGTAAAGGAGGTTTTATTTTATTAATAGAATTTCATTCAGCAATTTATTCATTCTTTTTATTCTTTTTGTATTCTGTATTCGTTTAAATACTAAATTGTTTTGATATTCTCGTATTTTCGGGTGTGGACCTGGCCAACCTACACGTGGAAATTCGGAGGTATTATAATAATAATACTAATACTACCCTGTAATATTATGTATCTACATAAATATGTAACCATTTATATAAATACAATATAATTATATATATTTATATAAATATAGATATAACTGAATCCTCCTTATCATTATTAGTTAGAATAATAATAACAATAACCTCCACTACCCATGGGTCATAACCCTTACCTATGTAGGTCCATCCAAGTAGTCCATGTGACCCATTTATTTGGTCCATAACTACTATCAAAATCCAACTCCTTTTAAAATTAAAATTAAAATAAAACACATATCTAAACAAGCAACTAAAATTAACACATTATCTTTTAACAAATAATCTCCTACAACAATTAATTTAAAACATTTAAGCACACACTTATAATTAATCAATTAATTCATTTAAACATATAACATGAAGCCACATAAACACATAGCCACGTAAACAATTAAAAATGCACAAGAAATAAAAATTTAAATTCTAATTATATCCTTTTGAAAACTAGGGGTATTACAAACATTGACTTAGCAATTGCAATGAAATCACTGATGGACACAACATGACCTACTCGACCTTCATGTTCTTCTTGTATAGCTTCACCGAAACCAGCTGAAGGAGTTCACCATTCAAAAGAATTACAAACCCTATCCTTGCAATTGAAAACAACTTCCCAAGATTGTCGTCTGACTCAGAGATCAACACAACTGCCCTTTTGTCACAACAATATTTCCTATTCCTGAAAGGGCCCCTTCGCACCACACCACGAAACCAACGTCTTGCAGATGATTCATAACTCATTTTCTGCAAATATACGCACACACAGAGAAGGAGAATGAGAAGGAGATGGACATGAAAACTGACAGCATCGTGAAGATGAAAATAGAAGTAAAGATGGATGATAACACTTACCAACACTTGTATCGATTTTCTGACCGCGATTATCACCAAAATTAACATTCGATTAATGTAATACTCCTAATTTTACAAAGGATAGTCCTGGAGTTTCTTTAATTATTTAATTGCAATTTTTAATGGTTAATTGCTTAATTGCTTAATTTGTTGGAATTACTTGTTATTGTTTGAATGATATGTCAGTTTACTTGATTATTTGTGTAATTGTTTTTAATTGCATTCATTGTTTAAGTTAATTAATTGTTCTGTTCTAATTAATTGCCGTAATTATGGATTTAATTGTTTTATTTAATTATTTTAATTGGATTAATTTTGTGGGATTTATTACTTTAATTGTTTTAAAATTAATTGGTTTAAATGACTGGATTTAGTTAAATTTAGTTAGTTCTCAACGTGACTGTTATATAGCTTTTCATTGGGTTTATAGTTTTCATAGACAGCCGTCATTGATTGTAACCTAGGTTTACATATTAATTGTAAGCCCTGAAGGTTTTGGAGTTGGATTTTATATTCTTATTTTGAGGATTTTCGGTTAGAGTTCTTTTCAGCCATTTTTATTTACTTCTTATTATTTCATCTTGTATTCAGTGTTCGATTTAAAATATTAATTGTTTGATATTCCCTCGGGTTTGGGTTTGGGCCTGATCAACCCGTGTCTCGGATCCGAGGGGTATCACAATTGAGCACCAAGAACAACAACAAAAAACCCTAACAGTTACAGAGTTCGTGATTTGGAGATATTTGGGTAAAGCCGTGTTTGGCTTTTTTTGTCCATTATAAGGAATGGGATTTTGGGGTATAACCGTATAACGGTTGGAAATTAAAGGCACTATTGTCATTTCATGCTTCTAAGGGTAATATCGTGTTTTAAAAAAATGCACTCAAATTTAACGGCTATATCTCACCGGACCTTGGCCGGATGGGGTGATTTGCAACTTTTTTGCATAGTTTAGGGGGTTTCTTGCATTTTTTGAAATTTAGGGGGTTAGTTGTAGGTTTCCCCATAATTCAGGAGGGGTTTTGCACTTTACCCTTTTAATTATTTAGATATAAGAGTGGAGCGCCCGTGTATATCATCTCCCTTCATTATTTAGAAATAAAAAGCAAGCCCAACATACTAACAACTAAGCAAACTTTTAATACTTTTGTGATATAATTATTTTATTTTATTTTATTTTTGTTGAACTTGTGATATAATTGACATAGTTAAAATATATAACTTTTTCATATAACTAATAAATGTTTATTATTTTTATTTAAATGTTTATTATTTTTATTTTTCTTATATTAAAAAATCAACAAAAAAATATTTAATAAATTCAAGTGATAATTTTTTAAGTGGAATAAATACATATAAGTAAATATATGAACGCTATAATGGCACCCCCGCTCTCATCTCATGGCCCCGCCCTGTCCCCAAACTCATAAAAACCCTCACAATTGATCTAGCCAGCAACAGGGCTGCTAGCTTGAGTTTAAAAACAAATATACACGACATAGACATATTTTCAACCAACATAAAGGAATGAACTCATAATTCATCAAATACATTTTATGAATTTTAACTAATTATCCTAAATAAATTGCTCCGAATTATTCAATCATTTGATAATCAGATTTATTCTTTGATATTGATAAATGAAATGAGGAAAATGGGCTACAAAGCAAGGCTAACCCTCACAAATATTGATCTAGCAAAAGGGCTGCCAGCTTGAGTTTAAACACACAAATATATATGACACAGACATATAATCAACGAACAGAAAAGGAAGGAATTTTTTTTTTTTTTCCCCGGAAAAAAAGTGGGGATAATCATTATTTTATTTTACTGAAAAATGAGATAGAGAGTTGAAAGATTATTGGCATTGAAGTTTGATGTCCCTTTACTGACAGCCTAGCTTTGAAGCACTACCGCCTCTGGCACTACTCCGTTGGTACTGAAAGGGATCGGAGGTAAAGGGAACGGAGACTCTTCCGCCCGCTCCACTGGTAATGTAGTTACCGGAGACCCTCCTTGAAAAAATTCATATACCATAGAGCTGAGTCGATCATTTGGGTGTCTGGCTAAATTATTCTTGTAATCCACACAAATGAGGCCGAAACGGGTAAGGTAAGCATTACCCCAGTCACAACTTGTATAATTTGCAACTCAATAATTTATAGTAACTAAACAAACTTGAGTTTGATTGTAATTTTTATTGGTTTGACCATATAAATGGTCGATTTCTATTGAACTCATCACTTAAATATCCTATGAAGAGGATAAGGTAAATTAGAGCGAAAAGAGTTTTTTCATGTTTGTAAATAAGTAATTGTCTGGTAATGAGTAAGAAATATTCGTCATTTTGCTAAATAGAATGTATTTAACTCATAATTCATTAGATACATTTTGCGCATGCCAACTAATTATGGTAAGGAAATTGCTCCCATTGTTCAATCATTTGATAACCAAAGTTATTCTTTCATATTAATAAATGAAAGGACGATAATGGGCTGCACAGCAGGAGGTAGCCCTCCCCATACTTAAACGCCCTCACAATTGATCTAGCAAAAGGACTGCTAGCTTGAGTTTAAACACATATATGACATATTACCAACCAACAGGAAGGAATGAACTATGTCAACTAATTATCGTAAATAAATTGTTCGGAGTTGTTAAATCATTTGATATTGATAAATGAAATGACGATAATGGGCTACACAGCAGGAGGTAGCCCTCCCCAAACTTAAATACCCTTACAAATATTGATCAAGCAAAAGGAATGCTAGCTTGAGTTTAAACACACAAATATATATATATATATATATATATATATATATATGACATAAACATATCATCAACCAACACGAAATCTTTTTTTTTTTTCTTTTTTTGCCGGAAAAAAGAAGTGGGGATAACACTTTTATTTTATTGAAAAATGAGATAGAGAGTTGAAAGATTATTGGCATTGGAGTTTGATGTCCCTTTATTGACAGCCTAGCTCGGAAGCACTACTGTCATTGGCGGTTGGTACTGTAAGGGATCGGAGACTCTTTCGCCGGAGACTCTTTAGCCGCCCCAATTGGTATTGTAGTTACCGTAGATCCTCCCTTGAGAAAATTCATGTACCACAGAGTTGAGTCTTTTGGGTGTCTTGCTAAATTATTCTTGTAATCCACATAAATGAGGCCGAAACGAGTAAGGTAACCATCACCCCATTCGAAATTATCCATGAGAGACCAAACAAAGTATCCAATTACATTAACTTTATCCTGGTCCATAAATGAAAAAAAAAAAATTAAAATTAAAATTAAAAAAATAAATCCAAGTCATATATATATATAATTGATGTACAAAAATATAATAACTAAACAATGTATCACAATTTTCATTATTAATTTACTCTAAACTTTTTGTAAATCATTAATACCGTAGTATAACATTTATCGCATCAAAGTAAAGAGAATTGATTTTTTTCCAAGAACTTACTTTCTTGCTTCTTTAATCCGAAGAAGATGATCTTGGATGTATTTTTTCCTCATCGTATCATTACAGACTTCTGAAAGATTTGTGCCTTTTACATCAGACTTGTCGCAGACCCCTATAAGAGAAACAGAAGTATTTGACTTAATTCATACCTATTTCTAGGGTAGTAATATATATGGTATATATCATTCTGCCCAATATATATATATACACACACACACACAATTAACCTTGCCAAATTTAAGGCTTACCATTCTCCGTAATGTAAATAAGCTTAGTGTCGTACTTTTTCGCAAGTTTTTGTAAAACATGTCCAAGTCCTTCTGGACAGACATTAAGCCATGAATTAGCCTGCAACATTATCAAATTAATTAATTGTATAAGATAAATACTTGATTAAATGATGATTCATATTAAATGATGGTCAGACGTGATTTTGTAGAGGTTGATAAAACTTGAAGGCTTTCCTTTTCACCAATTGCTTCACCTTTCCAACGACCTACAAGCAAATATATATTCGATCGATCATTTGAGTTCGTATGGAATTAAAATTGCATTAGAACTTTAGAACTAATTAATTATATACCTGTAAGTAAAACATCAGATAGTGGTTGGAAAATAACTGGTTTTTCATAATCAGTTGAATCTTCAACACCATTACCATGAGAGTCTCGATATATTTTTTTGTGGAGTGCATGATATGCTGTATAGTAGTTCAATCCGATGAAATCGCATGAATTTTTTAGCAACTTTTGCTCATTCTTACTGAAATGTCGAAGATCTTTCACTCTATCTCTCATGTTCTTTGGATATTCCCCTGTTGTCAATGGATTCATAAACCTGAAGAACAAAATGGAAGAATCAAAGAACATGAAATGAGAAATCGATTTTGAGATTTGGAGAAGGAGACCAATGGATTTGCCTTCCTTTTTCAAGAATTAGCAAATTTGTCATTTTGAGCGTATCTTGTTATGTGCCCATAACCTGATTGTTTAGGCGTATCTTATTTTGTGTTCATAACTTGATAAAATACCCGGTAAACTCACTTACTGCAGTTCGCTGCCAGCAGACCCTTATTATCTATTTTTGGTCCGTTTGAGTCTGTTCAAGTCATGATTCGCACAATAAAAGTTGCATTACATTTTGGGTTTCGGAATTGGGCTACTATCCAAATGGAACCGACTCCGTAGCTCGAAACCGGTTGCATTTTCTGGATAGTTCCATTGACCGCTCTTGCAAGTCGGATCTTAATCAAAGAAGCAGAGGTACGACAATTTGGGGCCACACCTCCGCTATCATACTACTTACCTGACTCGGGATGGGGAGGCACCGTTTCTGGGTCCTCGGAATTAGTCGGGGCAACGTCTTAGATACCCCCAGTCCAAAAGAGTCTTAAACCAGCATGTCACATTCACAATCCCGATCTTGCTATTTTGAACTTTCTATTAACATTCAATATCATTAGTATGTAAATTAATCACAACAGTTTAATTTCGGACCAATATCAACATTATCATTTTCTTTTTCTTTTCTTTTTTGTCGATACAGAAGATGAACACAAAATTTAATTAAGGCGGATGGAAATTGACCTTATAATTCTTCTTATACAAATCTGCTGCATTTGCATGAGCAAGAAGAAGGTTATGCGTCACGTCGTACATGTTCAATTCACTCTTCAAATGCCATGGATAATATCCACCCGGTGGGTGTGCACAATTGTGATGTCCAAAAACAGAGTAGCTCCATGGTTCATTAAGCGTGATCCAATTCTTTACCCGATCACCAAATTCCCAAAAGCAAAGGTTTGCATAGTCACGAAAATCATTCCTGTTATGTTGATATAAAAATCAATATTATTTTATTTAGTTGCAATATTAAACACCAAATGTTCACTAAAAAAATTAATTCTAAAGTCCAAATGTTCACAAAATGAAGATATATTTAAAAAATAATAATAATAATTTTTATAAAACTATATCACAAATTACCTATTTTATTTTCAATAAAACTCTATCAAACTAAACAAAGATATATTTAAAAAAAATTTATAAAACTCTAACACAAATTACCTATTTATCTATTTATTATGAGTTTTTTAAGAAAAAGAAATCTAATTAGACAAATATTATCAGTATAAAAAATCATTTATTAATTTATATAAAAAGAGGTTTAAAAAGAGTTTCTATAAAACTTTAACAAAAATTACCTATTTATCTATTTATTATGAGTTTTTTTTAATAAAAAGGAAATCTAATTAGACAAAAATTATTATTATAAAAATATTTATTAATTGATATAAAAGAGTTTTTAAAAGAGTTTCTATTAAATTCTAACACAAATTACCTATTTATTTATTTATTATGAGTTTTTTTATAAAAGAAAATCTAATTAGACAAAATTTATTGATATAAAAAATATTTTATAATTGATATAAAAAATAAAATAAAATTTCTAAAACTCTACCACTAATTATCTTTTATTATGAGTTTTTTTAATAAAAAGTAATCTAATTAGACAAGAATTATTAATATATAAAAATATTTATTAATTCATATAAAAAAAAGTTTTTAAAAGATTTTTTAAAAAACTCTAACACATATTACCTATTTATCTATTTATTATGAGTTTTTTAAATAAAAGAAAATATATTTAAACAAGAATATATTTAAATAAAAAATAAAAAAAATTTCTATGAAAACTAGCTCAAATTAGCTAACTCTAAAATCTACCTAATAAAATTCAAATTAACCTATTTATCTGTTTATTATTATGAATTTTTTTCATAAAAGAAACTCTAATTAGACAAAAATTATTAATATAAAAAATATTTATTAATTGATATATAAAAGATAATAATTTTTCTAAAACTCTTCCACAAATTAGCTTTTATTATGAGCTTCTTAATAAAATGAAATCTAATTAGACAAAGATATATTTAAAGAAAATAAAATAATTTGTATAAAACTCTATCACAAATTACCAATTTTAATTTTAATAAAACTGTATCACATTAGACAAAGATAGATTTAAAGAGTTTCTATAAAAATTTAACATAATTTAACTATTTATCTATTTATTATGAGTATTTTAACAAAAGGAAATCTAAATAAACAAGTATTATTAATATAAAGAATTATTTACTAATTAATATAAAAAGAGGTTTAAAAAGAGTTTCTATAAAACTTTAACACAAATTACCTATTTGTCTATTTATTATGAGTTTTTTAATAAAAAAAAAAATCTAATTAGACAAAATTTATTCATTTAAAAAATATTTATTAAGTGATATAAAAAGAGTTAACTATTTATTTCTTTATTATGAGTTTTTTTATAAAAGAAAATCTTATTAGACAAGATTTATTGATATAAAAAATATTTTTTAATTGATATAAAAATTAAAATAATTTTTCTAAAACTCTACCATAAATTATCTTTATTTCTGAGTTTTTTTTTAATAAAAGGTAATCTAATTAGACAATAATTATAAATATATAAAAATGTTTATTAATTCATGTAAAAAGAGTTTTAAAAGATTTTCTATAAAGGTCTAACAAATATTACTTATTTTTCTATTTATTATGAGTTTTTTTAATTAAAAAAATATAATTAAACAAGAATATATTTAAAGAAAAGAAATTTTTTTATAAAATCTACCACAAATTAGCTATTTTATTTTTATAAAATTCTATCACATTATCTATTTATTATGAGTTTTTTTAATAAAATAATTTCTATAAAATAAAATAATTTCTATAAAACTCTATCACAGATTAGCTATTTTATTTTCTATAAAACTCTATCACATATTATCTGTATTTATCTATTTATTATGAATATTATTATAGAAAATAAAATAATTTCAATAAAACTCTATTACAAATTATCTATTTTATTTTCTTTAAAACTCCATCACATATAATTTGTATTTATCTATTTATTATGAGTTTTTAAATAAAATAAAATCTAATTAGATAAGGATATATTTAAAATAAATAAAATTATTTTTCAAAAGAGTTTATATTAAGCTCTAAAACAAATTACATATTTATCTATTTATTATGAGTTTTTTAATAAAAGAAAATATAAGTAGACAAAAATTATTAATATTAAAAAATATTTAATAATTGATATAAAAAATAAAATAATTTTTCTAAAACTCTACCACAATTAACTCTTATTATGAGTTTTTAATAAAAGAAAATATAATTAGAAAATGATATATATATATATATATATATATATATATATATATAAAGAAAATAAATAATTTATATAAAATTATACCACAAATTACCTATTTTATTTGCAATAAAATTCTATTACATTAGAAAAGATATATTTAAATAGTTTCTATAAAACTCTAGCACAAATTATCTAAACTCTGGCACAAATTAATTACCCCTATATAAAAAGAGAACTCTATCACATATAACCCTTGTATTTATTTAATTAGTATGAGTTTTTAATAAAATAAAATCTAATTATACAAGGATATATTTAAATAAAATAAAATAATTTTTATAAAACTATAACACAAATTACCTATTTTATTTTCTATAAAACTCTATCACATTAGATAAGGATATATTTAAAGAAAATAAAATAAAACCTAGGGTTTTCTAAAAAACCACAAACTCCATACAATAAATTTTTATATCAATTTCAATCTAATGTATGATTAGTATAATTGTATTTCTATTTTAAAATTTAATTAAAATTAATATATTTGAATTTCTATTGTAAATTTAAAATTATAATAAATTTTAAATTACCTAATAAAATTCAAATTACAAATTACCTAATAAAATTAAAATCTATACTATTATATATATTTATATAATTTTTTAAATATTACCTAATAAAATTAAAATTACAAATTACCTAATAAAATTCAAATTACCTTAAAAAATTTATTCCTTTTCAAAACTCAAACTCTACCACCAATTTCAGTATTAAAATAATTTTTTTTATTAATTAATAAAATATAAAATATAAATATTTCAGTATTAAATAAAAACCTAAAAGAATTTATTACTTTACAAAACTCAAACTCTACAACCAATTTCAAAATATTTCAATATTTATTTATTAATGTAAAAAAATATTTATTAATTAATATAAAAAGAGTTACAAATTTTTTGTAAGGTTTATTGTTTCAAGTTTCAAATCAATAATTAAAAAAATATATATGAAAACAAAAATTCTATAAGTTACAAAACATTCACCACGTGTATCGCACATGCCTTTTCCTAGTATATATATTAAAAGTGTGCAAATAACACTTTTCGTGTTCAAATTTCACCGAACAATGTTTAGCTACTCACCGGTAAATAGCTTCACGCTTACTTACTCCTTATGTGTTCAAATAATAAACTAGCATATCAACTTTAATAACAAAATTAACAAAATAATAATAAAAAGTAGAATTAACCCATTTTAATTGGATAATTACCCTTTCTTTTTTCTCTCTCCTCTTTCACTGATTCTCAACCCATCGGTAGCCAAATCAAACGGCTCCAATCTCTCTGCCATGAAATCAACCTATTCACCTTATTGGACCATCCTTACTCGTCTCAACCCACCGCTATTCGGGTGTGACTGTTGAGCTTGACGTCAGCGCTGATGGTACAACCATCGACGTCTCTGTACGGAGAGCTTGGGAGGCGTTTGGCCAAATTGATGCTCTGATCAATAACGCTGGTGTTAGAGGTAATTCCATTCCAATTTGGTAGTAACACTAGTAGTGGTTTATGGCCAAATTGATGCTCTGATCAATAACGCTGGGCTTTTCTTTAAATTCTATACACCATTTGGTTGGTGGTAAAACTAACAGAAACAAAATAAAATAAAATTAGAATACAAATCTTCGGTGTTTTACGTTGTTCATGGTTCCAAGGAAATGATAATTTCGCAACCGATTCAGATTATTGCTCAAGACTTGGTTGAATGCAGGTTATTTTTCCCGGTATTAATTGTAAGATGAAACTTTGAGATTTAACCATGTTGTTCTGTACATCTACAACCTCTCAACAATCAATAAGAGGTTTTGTTTAATTACTAAGTTCTGATTACACTTTTATTAGAATATATAAAAGAGGAGAGAGAAAAGAGAATGACTCAATTAAAACGGGTTGATTCGAAATTTTTTTCTTTTAATTTATTTATTATTTTGTTATTAAAGTTGATGTATAATTTTATTATTAAAATACATAGCGGGTGAATAGGGCCATGTAATAAGCATGTAAAGCAAGCAAATAAGGACTTGTCTGTAGGTAAATAAAGTGGGGTGGGCGAAAAGACTAAAATGCCCTTCACTCTACTAATAACAAAAATAATACCAAAAACTTAAAACATGAAATTACCTCAACGGACAGACAAATGGGATTTACTTAGCCAAACTTTTCTGTTCTACTCAAATCTCACCCGTCAGACTCTACTCAGCCACGTCAAAACCATCGGCGAGTCATAGGCAATTCCGGGAAAATCATCAAATAGTTTGCTTAATTCAGTTTTAGATTACAGTCTTTAATTCCTTCAGTTTTAGATTTTAATGGTTAGTTGGTTTAAGTTCTATGGTGAGAACATATAACCTCATTGAGATTTGATTGCATCTAGTTAATATCCACAGGTACTGGCAATCTGGTTGGGAATTTATTTTTTTTAAATTGATTTTTTGAAGACCCATCTAGAATTCTGATGGTACGAGGTAATTAATATGGACATGAAGATGCCAGCAATGAACCTGAAAATCAGTAACAATACTTTAAAGTTGATGGATTTTCTATTTTTCCTTTAAAAAAAATTCGTCATATCCTCTCTTTTTTTTG